GGACCCGAAACGTTAACTCTGTTTTCTCCTCCACAGATGCTGCCAGACCTGCTGAGCTTTTCCAGCAACTTTTGTTTTTGTTCCTGATTTACAGCATCCGCAGTTCTTTTGGTTTCCACAGTCTAAATAGTCCATGATGTTCCCACCTACCTGTATTTGGCCCATGCCCCTCTAAATCTTTCCTGTTGTCTTTGAGAATGTTGTAACTGTACCTGCATTTAACAGTTTCTCTGGCAGTTTGTTCCATATATGAACCACCCTCTTTGAAAAAACTGGCCCCTCAAGTTCCTTTTTTTATTTAAATCTTTCTCCTGTCACCTGAAAATTATGCCCTCTAGTTTTGAACTCCCCACCCTAGCGAAAAGACCTTTTGCTATTCACCATATCTCTGCCCCTCATGAATTTTATACACCTCCTTTCAGGTCACTCCTCAACCTCCTACGCTCCAGTGGAAAGAAGTCCAAGCTTATCCAGCCTCTCCTTTATAACTCAAACCCTTCCTTCATTCCCGGTAACATCCTGGTAAATCTTTTCTAAACCATCTCAAATTTTATAATATCCTTCTTGTAACAGGGTGACCAGAACTGTACATAGTGCTCCAGAAGAGTCCTGACCAACATATTGTACAACCTCAACATGATGTCCCAACTCCTGTACTCAATGAATCTGCCAGCTTGTTATTGTACAGGAACGGGAGGCATGTTATTTTTGTGTAAGCAGAGTCAAGGTCAATTCACAGTTTGGTTGCGTGCGCACACGTTGTGTATGACTGCAGCTTGACTGGGGCAAATGTGATAGAACAATTGAAAAGACAACTGAACACCTCTAATGGATGGTGGAACAAATGCCAAATCATGTTTTAAAGTGCAGTTTCCTGCTTCCCTCAGACAGGCCAGAGCCTCCGTCTGGAAGACCACGTGTTTCAGAGATCTGTGGGACCTCTCTCTCACTGTCCTGGTCTGGTCCATGTTATGATGGTGGGAGCGCTATCCAGTCCTATATCATTGAGATGCAGCAGTCTGGAGAGTCTGAGTGGAGAAGATTGACTGATTCGTGTAGTAGCACCTCCTATCAAGTGAACGGTCTGAAGCTGGACGGAGAGTACAGTTTTCGTATATACGCAGTGAACTCTTGTGGCATTAGTGAAGTAGGAGAGGAATCTAAACCTGTCAAGCTAACTGACATCAAAGGTAAGAATTTGAATCCGAAGAAATTTCCTTTGATCCAACCGGACTGAATTGTTCAAATACTTAAATGTACATATTTCTATCAAAATTTGATGTGGAAAAAGATTTTAACTCTAGCATTTTCCAAATAGATGGGATTAGGAATAAAATTGATGTGTGGCAATTACATCTAGAGTCATACAGCGTGGAAACAGACCCTTCGGTTTAACCAATCCATGCTGACCATAATCCCAAACTAAATTTGTCTCCTGCCTATGCTTGAACTGTATCCCTCCAATAATTTCTTATTTGTGTCCTGATCCAAACATGTTTTAAACGTTGTAACTGTGCCTGCATCCGCCACTTCCTCTGGAAGTTCATTCCACACACGAATATCTGTTTTTAAACAAAAAGTTCCTCATCTCTTTTGTTTTAAATCTTGCTCCTCTCACCTTTTTAAAAATAAGGCCCCTAGTTATGAAATTCCCCACCCTTTTTTTTTTCTTATTCCTTTCATGGCATTGCTGGCTGGACCAGCTGTTATTGCCCAGAGGGCAGTTAAGAGTCAACCACATTGGTCTGGAGTCACATGTAGGCCAGACCAGGTAAGGATGGCAGATTTCCTTCCCTAAAGGACATTAATGAACGAGACAGGTTTTTCCTGACAATCGGTGATGGTTTCATGGTCATCATTTAGATTCTTAATTCCAGATTATTATTGAGTTCAAATTCCACCATCTGCCGGATTCAGACCCAGGTCCCCAGAACATTAGGAACAGGAACAGAAGTTGCTGGAAAAGCTCAGCAGGTCTGGCAGCATCTACGAATTTTAAAAAAATCAGTTAACATTTAGGATCCAGTGACCCTTCCTCGGAGCTGGACCCAAAATGTTAACTTTTTTTTCTTCATGGATGCTGCCAGACCTGCTGAGCTTTTCCAGTAACTTCTGTTTTTGTTCCTGGTTTACAGCATCTGCAGTTCTTTCGGTTTTTCCCAGAACATTACCTGGGTCTCTGGATTAATAGTCTAGTAATACCACTAGCCCAATCGCCTACCCATTACACTCATTATTTTATGAACCTCTATAAGGTCACTTCTCAACTTCCTATGCTCCAGTGAAAAAAAGTCCCAGCCTGCCCAGCGCCTCCTTAATAACTCAAAACCTCCATTCCTGCAACATCCTGGCAAATCTCTTCTGAATCTCTCCAGCTTAATATTCTCCCTATAACAGGGAGACCTGTCTGAGGAAAGCAGTAAACTGTGTTTTTAAACACTATTTGGCATTTGTTCCACCATCTATTACAATCGTGTTCAGTTGTCTTTCAATTGTTCAATCAAAATTTGCCCCAGCGAAGCTGTGGTCCTACACAATAGGCCAGAAGAGGCCTCAACAATGTCCTGTACAAGCTCAATGTTACATCTCCACTCCTGTCCTTCAAATTCATTCTTCTACTTCATCTCTGGTGGTCCCTATGAATGAATCACAGCATTATGATGGTGTAGAAGCAGGTTATTTAGCCCATTGTGGTTGCACCAGCTCTAATATGAAGTGCTAGTCTCCTACCTTTAACACATACTGCTGCACACCATTACTATCCAGATAAACTTCCCATAAGCTTGACTTTTATGACCAGAACCAAAATGTGGAAATCTTTTTTTAACGTAGGAAAACTATCATGCTGCAGCTATTGCACGGTACTGGTTGGCCAGGAAATGCTCCTGCTCTTGCTGCCTGCCATGGGTTTATTGGAAGGATTTGCTGGTGGTTGATCAGTTTGTTTGGCCAGGCCACAAACACATTCTCCCGGTGTCTGCCTGGATTTCCTCCCGGGAGCTCTGGTTTTGTGCCCACAGTCATCCTCCTGCAGATTAGGTGGATTAGCTGTGTTAAAATGCCCATCGTGACCAGGGATATGCAGGCTAGGTAGATTAGCCATGGCAATATAGGCTGGGGGGGGTGGTGGTGGATGGGTCTGGGTGGGAAGCTTTTTGGAGGATTGGTGTGAACTCGATGGGCTGAATGCTTCAACACTGTAGGGATTCTACGATTAAAAATGTTGTGGAGTGGGATAGAAAGTTTCTGGCTCGAAGCAAGGGACGCTACTGCTGCATCACCAACCCTCCCCATTCAGTCAACACTCTGACTGAGGGATGTATCAGAATTGAATTGCTGGCTGTTGTACCTGTCTGGGTCATCTGTTTGACTCTGTTCCTGAATCTAAAGTACCAATAATGGATCTGACTAGGAATAGCTACATCCAGAAAAACAGGAATGGGTTTCCTCAGTGAAGTGGTTGCAGATGGTCAGACATTTACGTACACCATTTACATATCATGTTTTTGTTAGTAGCTCTCTTATCACAGTCAACCTCCCTAAAAGTTAGGAGAAGGCATCTCTGAAATACTCCGTGTTGACTAGTAAATGCAGGAAGGCTGCTTTCCATCCCTCTGTTATTCCTGCTCCTCTTCCTTCAATGAAACTGGGAAGATAGGAGTGCTGTTAGTGGTGGTGGGTGTTGAGAACAAGTCTCCAAATTATTGCTATAAAATGTTCATGACCATGTAAATGACAACTTGGGGAAAATGATCAATGGAAATGGTTCAGAAATGGAATGTTGAATGAATGTTCTTAAAAGCCCTTTTTTAAACTTGTTTGCAAATACTGCTCAGTATCTAGTAACAGCCTCTAATTTGCTGAAGAGAGTTTTTACTTCAGATGAAACTTCTCCAGAATGAAGTAAAATGACTTCTTGGCTTCTGCCTTCAGGATAGAATTCCCTCTACCTGTCTCAAGGTCAGAGTCTATTCCAATAAAGCATTGTATAATTATCAGCCAAATATTGTCTTGTGGGGCATACAGATTAAAGTCTGAGTTAGTGTTCAGGTTATCCTTTCATAAGTTGAATGTAGGCAGTTCTGGGTGATTTTGTAAGGAAAACCAGTGACAGCAATAGTAGGAAAAGCATTGGAAGCATAAAGGTTAGGGACCATATCACTCCTACATGGTCCTTTTCCAAAGCCTGTGTTGCATGGAGGACAGTGTGGGTTGTTACAAGTTGTTGCCACTTGCTGTTAGTTTAATGCCTTTTTGTCTCTTTTTGAAGAGAAAGAAGAAAAAGAAGAGTTAGGCACTCATGTGACAATAAATACAACTCAGAAGCTGACTGATCTTTACGTACAGCAGGAATGTCTTGGAGTGTGAGTATCAACAGTGCCAATCTGTGCATATCTTGCTTTTTGTTTTTAAAGTGACCGGTGACACTTCATACACTAACTTTTTTTTTCCCTGTCTGGAGTACCGGGGAGTAAGTCATTTCTGGCTTTTAGAATGTTCTAGATTCGTGTGCGTGGTAGATATAAATATATATGAACTGATAAAACATTGTGCAGCGGTTATTATAAAAAAATAGTTTCACTTAACTAAATGTTGTATCTTCCATTTGGAAGCAAAGTGAATACATATCTCAAACTGTTCAGAGTTCCAAACAATATACCTCACAGATTTTTTTTTTCCACTGAAGCATGTTTGTCTTGGGTTTTTTAATGATTTCCACCTCTTTATTGATATTGGAAAGGGAACGTGCTTATGTTTCACTGTACTCTTCCTAAATGCCACAGAGCGTTTTCAAGGACTAACTATACTCAGATGCTGCCAGACCTGTTGACTTTCTCCAGCAATGTGTGTTTTTATTTCAGATTTCCAACATCTGTTTTTTTTTTTATATATGTATCCTGGAAATGCTTGTGTCTCCTCAAATCACCTTGCCCGTTGCAAAAGCAGGAGCTGGGATGGGGTGGAGGAAGAGGGATAGAGTGTGCTGGTATAAACTGATGAAGGGAGAGTGGAAGGATAGAGAGAGGTGTGAGGGAGAGAGTGATGGAACATAGAACTGTACAGCACACAACTGTCCCTTAAGTCCATGATGTTGTGCCGAACATGATGTCAAATTAAACTAATCCCTTCTGCCTGCCCTTGGTCCATATCCCTCCATTTCTTGCATATTCATGTACTTATCTAAAAGACTCTTAAATGCCCCTAATCATATCTGCTTCCATCACTACCCCGGTAGCACATTCCACACTCCTCCTCCTCCTGTCTGCGTTAAAAATAAAATAAAAATGCCCCTCATCTCCTTTTTGAATTTGCCCCCTCTCACCTCAATGCACACCTTCTAGTTTAGACATTTTAAATCTGAGAAAAAGATTCTAACTGTCAACCCTGTCTCTGGATCTCAATTGTATAGCCTTCTATCAAGTCTCCCGTCAGCCAGTTTTTCTAGCCTCTCCTTTATGCTTCATACCCTCAAATCCAGGCAGCATCCTGGTAAACTACTTCTGCACCCTCTCCAAAACCTCCACATACTTCCTGTAATGTGGGGACCAGAACTGAATGCAGTACTCTTGTGAGGCCTAACCAAAATCTTGTAAAGCTGTAATATTTCTGATGGTGTAATAGACTGACGGAGGGAGAGACCAACAGAGACTAGATAGTGTTGAGAAAGAAACTGTGTGGCCCTGTAACTTCGTGCAGTGTTTTCCTACGTTACAAAGTCACTGTGTTGGATGAGCTGCTGCCTTACTGATCTTCTGCAGCACCCCACAATTGAGTGGCAAGTTGGATTAAAAGCCTGTACAGACATGAGCGGAATGACCTCTTCCTGTGCTGTAACTTTTTCTACGATTCTTAGTCTGATTTCTGGACAACTTTACCTCAGGACTCCAGATTTCTGAACTGCAGAGAGGACAATTTTTTTGTTTTTACCAAGTTGAATATAACAACAATGCTATGATTTACTGCAAATACTAATGTTTCATTGTCTGTCAATACAAATATCTCTCGATTGCAAGACTTGTTTGGGGTGGAGTGATTTGAAGAATGACTGATGGTATTGTTAGAATTACTATCACTTGAGTGGTCTATTGGAAGAAGTAAACAAATTGCATTTATAAAGCACCTTGTTGCAGCTTCAGGATGTCCCAAAGGGCTTCACAGCCAATTAAGTACATTGTCATGTCTTCAGCAAGCTCCCACACACTGGTGGCCAAATCTATTTTAATGTTATTGATGATGTCATCTCCTCCTCCCCCACCCCATGTGCCTTTTAAGACATGCTACACACTGATAGTCAGACACAACACAATGGATAAGAGATAAATGTTGACTAGGAGAGATTCCCTGGTCGGTTTTTTGAATCAGATTTTTTATATATGTCTGCCCAAAAGGACAGACAGTGAGCATCTCTAGATGAACACTCCCTTGGTGTTGCTCTGAACTTGCAGCTTAGTTCATGTCCTGAAATCTCTAGGGTGGGCCTCCAATTTACAACATTTCAGACTCCAGCAAGACCAGGCCACCATGAGACTGTCTGAAGAGGGAAAAAGTTGCTGGATGATGTAGGACTGACAAATACTTTTATTTGGTCACTTTATATTTTTCTGCAAGGAAATTCAGTTAAATTTGTCTCCCTGTTCACTAATTGGAAGGAAAAGTACATAGTGGCCTCTGTGTGAAAAGTACACGCATGTATGTCGTTTAGAATTATGTCAAATGTGAAAATTTCCTTCAGGTCATCTACAGGAAATGCCCACTTCCATATCAGGAAAGTTGTTCAGTCTCTGCTGCTCTTACATCCAAGATAAAGGTCCTCCAAATCCTCGTGAGAGAGTTGCTGTAATCTGACATTCCACATCAAGAAACCCCTTCAGCAAATAGATTTGTTTCTCTCTTGTCTGTCAAGAAGTTGATTTGATCATCAGCATCGGGGGGGGGGGGACAAAAAAAGCAAATATGGTCCAGGACATTGCTGTTACTGCCACCTGTTAATATTGGTGCTGGAGATAACTTTCATATCTAGGCTCTACATTCAGTAGCAATCTGTCATTTGATGCTTAAAAACACACACATTGTAAAAACCACAGCTATTCTGCTGACGCTGAATTCGATTTTGAATCTGACTGACTCAATACCAAGCTTGTGTCCTCAGCACCCTGCTCTACAGAAGTGAGCCCTGGGCAACATATATTAGTGAAGAGAAAAGGCTCAATCCTTTTCATCTTTTGCTGTCTTAGACTTATCCTCGGCATTCCTTTTTGACAAGAGAAGGTGACCAACTCTGGTCATGGAGTATGCTGATCCCTCCAGCATATATAGGCTTTTATCCCCAGGGTGGAAAGGTCAAGTTGAAAGGTGGGGGCTGGGAGTGGTGGTGGTAGTTTAGGGGAGAAATGCAGGGAAGATTTTTTTTCACCCAGCAAGTGATGGGTGCCTGGAATGTACTGCTAGTGGATGTGGTGGAAGCAGGAATGTTAGCAATGTTTGAAGTGTATCTTGGTAGACACATGGATGGGAGGCGAACAGAGGGATAGAAACCACACGGTCCATAAGTAGCAGGCCTAAGTAAGGATTAGGAATCAGTGCAGGCTCAGTGGGCCGAAGGGCCTGTTCCTGTCCTATATTGAATTGTCGAGCTGGATGAATACAGCAGGCCAAGCAGGAAGGCTGACGTTTCGGGCCTAGACCCTTCATCAGAATGAAGGGTCTAGGCCCGAAACGTTAGCCTTCCCTGCTCCTGCGATGCTGCTTGGCCTGCTGTGTTCATCCAGCTCTACACCTTGTTATCTCAGATTCTGCAGTTCCTACTATCTCTATATTGAATTGTATTGTGTTGTATATTCACTGCTGAGGCAACGATGCCTGTACTGGCTTGGTCATGTTTGTTGATGGTTGATGCACAGACCTTCACTATGGTGACCTGGCCATTGGGTCATGACCTCCTTGGTATCCATGCATCCAGTTCAAGGGCACCTACAAGCAAAGTATGAAGACAATGGACAGTGACAACTGGAAGACAGATGGTAACAAGCTTTGAAGGCTAAATGCAAAATATTGTGGATGCTAGAAATCTGAAAGCAACACAAAGAATGAATACAACAGAGTATCCTTTCGTTTGTAAAAACCAAAAGAACTGCGGATGCTGTAAATCGGGGACAAAAACAAAGTTGCTGGAAAAGCTCAGCAGGTCTGGCAGCATCTGAAGGAAAACAGTTAACGTTTCAGGTCCGGTGACCCTCTGAACTGTTCTGAGGAAGGGTCACTGGACTTGAACCGTTAACTGTTTTTTCCTTCACAGATGCTGCCGGACCTGCTGAGCTTTTCCAGCAACTTTGTTTTTGAACCTCTTTTTCTGTCACTTGTACTACAGTATAGAAGTACAGTGAAATGCTTCTACAATGGCTGCCTTTTGATGGGTGCCATCTTAGGTACAAATCTTAGTTTTTAAAAAAAAAAAAAAAAGTGGTCTTACACAAAGAGGATTAAAGGAAGCACGAGCATTACTTAGAGGTGGTTACAACATAGTGTAATGCTGGAGAAACTCGGTGGATCAGAGTGGCAACTATGGAGCAAAAGGCCGTTAACATACTGGACTTGCAGTGTTAACCTTTTTTGGAGTCCGATTTGGGAGGGCGTTGTTTTCTTCTCCAAACAAAGTGACTTACCGGGCAGTAAAGAGAGCTGAGAGAAATTTAGAGGTCCTCAAATGGTGCTCGCTGTCTTCCTCTGCAGAAAATGTGACACTGTCAAACCAAGTGAGGCCTCTGAGCCACAGCAGACCAGGTTTATCCGAGTTGATCAGCACGGTGTAAATTGTCATCTCCCCAGACAGGGTCACCTGACTATCTTTGTAGGAGTTATTCATTACCTGTTAACCGAGGTGACTGTGTTTTAGGCTGCATCTTCCATCTGGAAGTTGATGTCACTGAGTTGGACCAATCCAACTCCTGAACTAACAGAAGAGCAAATGGGGAGTGTGGAGCATCAAGAATAGTTAAAGATGATTCAGGAAGACCTCCAAACCATGATGTTGATTTAACCCATAAGTGTCCAATTTTGGGTGAGCAGCTTGGCAATCCAATTGTACCCATCATAGGAAAAGTACCACGTTACATGCAGCAACCCAGCCATCAGTGAGAATCATAGAATCCCTACGGTGTGGAAGCAGGCCATTCAGCCCATTGAATTCACACTGACCCTCCTAAAGAGCATCCTACCCTACCCCTGTAACCCTGCATTTCCCACCTAACCCACACACCTCTGGCCACTATATATGGGGCAATTTAACATGGACAGTCCACCTAACTTGCACATCTTTAGACTGTGGGAGGAAACCACAGCACCTGGAGGAAACCTGCACAGACATGGGGAGAATGTGCAAACTCCACACAGACAGTCGCCCACAGGTGGAATTGAACCCGGGTCCCTGGCGCTGTGAGGCAGCGGCGCTAACCATGGAGCCATCCTGTCTCCTTTATTGACTTGGATGTTTGAACAGACAACATCTAAGCCACCTCAAATTATCAATTTTTAGGTTGCTCACCACAGCCAAAGGATCGTGTCTGTAAGTGCACAATACAAGATTTGAGATCAGACTGATATATTATGACTACTTTTTCTTTTCAACCTGTCTCTAACCAAGCTATTCTCGATCGTATTTCAGAGGGACATTTGGAAAGGTTTATAAACTGTTGCAAAAATCCACAGGAAAAACTCGAGCAGGCAAGTTTTATAAAGCTCGTACGACTAAAGATAAGAAGAGTGCACGCGATGAGATTGAGATAATGAACTGTCTGCACCACCCAAAGCTGGTTCAGTGCCTGGACGCGTTTGAGAGTCGGACTGAGATTGTCATGGTGATGGAATAGTAAGTGATAGATTTGCAAAAGAATAAAAGTGATAAGAGCTGCTCCTAACCACAACGAAAGAACGAAAATAGCTGCATTAATCCCTGTCAAAATAGAAAACTTCTTTGGAAGTGAATGGCCAGATTTTATACCGGTTTACAAATCTGATCCTTTCGGAGTAGCTGTTAATAGCAGCAGGAGTAAATCCATTCAACCCCTCAACATTCAAGAGGATCATGCCTAACTTGTCCCTCTACTCCATTTGATCCCATTGTTGATCCCTATGCCTCAGTCCTCTCAACCAATTAAATATATCAGAATCAGACTTGAAATTTTGTATTGACTGAGCATCAATAGTATTTTGTGTGTTGCATTTCTGCTACCCTAGAGTAAGGGGAAAAAAACATCCTGTTTTCAGTTGTATAGAGTTAGATCACTAATGGAGCCTCCCAGGAAGTGATTATTGCTTTGTAGATAACTGTCCAAATTGGTTTGAAATGTTAGTTCCAATTGTGGTGTTGCATCCCATTGAAAGGATAAAGTAACAGCACTGTAATTTTTTTTTTAAAAAAGTGCTTGGAAGGTTTCTTTTAAAAGCAAATTTAAACTCCTGTCTTGAAAATTTAAGAGCCTAAATCAAAACCCAAACCTGTCAGGATTGCATAACAGCTCTGTCAACATCTAAGTCTTGGAGTGGGACTGACAAAGACAAAGTTTGGACTCTGAGTTAACGGCTACCACTGAGCCAAGACAGATGTAGATGAAGTAAGGTGTGCCCACATCACGAAGTCCAGTGTAGATCCTGACCACAAGTTCAAATGGATTTGCTAGTCACAATTTTTGAGGGCAGAATTAATCCCTACGAAAGTAGTTGGGCAACTTTAGACTTGATGTCAGAGAAGTAAGGCATTTTGTTTTTTTTTTTTTTTTTTTGTCTGCACGTTCTATGATTTTAGTTGTTGCTGTTCTCTAATACAACTGTGTGATCTTGTACAGTATTTCTGGAGGCGAGCTCTTTGAGCGTATTGTGGATGAGGATTTTGAGCTAACGGAGCCTACCTGTGTCCTGTATGTCCGCCAAATCGTGGCTGGCTTGCAGTTCATGCACCAACAGAGCATTGTGCACCTGGACCTGAAGCCAGAGAATATAGTGTGTGTCGACAAGAACGGCATGCTCATTAAAATAATTGACTTTGGACTGGCACGAAAACTTGGTGAGTGAAGCAACACTTTTGTTTGTCTAGTCAACCATTTCATATTGACTTCTTCCTCAAACATCCTTTAATCTTGAGTATTGCCCATGTAAGTGGTGTGAGCAGAGAATCAGGCCTACAATGTTGCAGTCTCAATTCTCTAACCCTAGCTTAACACACAAACAACTCCCTCACTGGCTGTTCCCCAATGATTATCATGGTGGCTTGCTGGCCTTAAGGTAATCATTTTACAGTTCTGTAATTTCTTGATTTACGTTCTCCGCGATGGGTTTAGAGTCACGTTTAACAACAATTTTGCGCTAGTTTTCTGAATCACCTCTGTGAATGCACTGCATTCGTAGTCTTCTCTGCTTGTTAGAGAAGAGTGTTCAATTCATACTTGTTTCCACTTTGATATTTGGGTTTATGATCACACTTTAACTACCACATGCAGTAATCAATTTGTAGCATTTTTCTGATAGGATATATCCATGATTTAGATAAAAAATATACGACTGTGTACCAATTAGACAGTTCACTGATACCAGAGGGCAAATGGGCTGTTGATTATAGAATGTGTGTCAATCTCATTAAAGTTATGAAGGCAGCATCCTGTTCTCCAGCCAAGGTGTTAGTGAACTCTTCCCTAGATTTTCATCCTTTTTCTTCTAGTCCATCTTCCATCAAGAGAAGGCAGCTGCCTGAGGACCGTCCTCTGTCCCTGAGCACTGGTTGATTACAAGCAACGTCTAAGGGCTGATAGCTTATGTTGTGTCAACTGTCCGAATTGTTTTGGCCAATGACCATGGAGCAGCTCCTCATGATGCTGGATGACCAATGTCTCCTTGTCCACCTCCCCCTGTTGAAAGTTAGTTTCTTTCCTTCTACGAACAAAGCCTTCTTTTCCCCAACACCAGATTAGTAATAGAGTAGCTGAAGACACACTTGCCGAGGCAGTGTGTTTCATCACCCTGCTAGTTAACATCAGTATGCCACTGGTGAAGTGTTGATGTTCTGTCCTGCTTGTTATTTATATCCCTCTGTTTGTTGGGATGTTTGGCACTACTTCTGATAAATAACAAGCGGATAGAACACCAATGCTTCACCAGAGGTGCATTAATGATGTTACCAAGCAAGGTGATGAAACGTCTGCAGCCAAACCCCCTGGGTCAGTGAGCAGGTCTGCAACCTGAGCTACAAATCTTCTCCTCCAAAAGTAATAGAGTAGTGTTCTACCTGAAATCTTTTTGTCTACCTTTTGAACAAGGTTATTTACTACTGTTTCATGAGATCTCATACTTTTTTTTTTAAAAAAAAAACCAAAAGAACTCTGTTTAAAAAGGGTCCTCATTTTCCCACAACTTCAAGTTGCAGCCTGATTTCCCTTAGCTGTTGAAGTTCAGCTGATGTTAAAACCTCGGAGTTAAACTGAACACGCTCGCAATGATTGGAATCATCTCTTCATTCAGATTTGGTCAAATTATTTTCCTTCAACCAAACCTAATGGAGTGGATTAGAATGCTTGTGATAGCTTGATTACTACCTCAGTAAGAAATTAGATCGGGAATAATTGAAGCCATGCTCCAATTAATGAAGTCAAGGCATTTATGGCTCACTATATTGGGTGTTAATTTTGGCCTTATCCGGGGGGACGAGGTGCAAATTCTGATGTAAACTAACATGTTCCATCACGTGGTCAATGTTGGGAGAATGCATTGTCAGCCTTTTATCTCTTCAGCCATATAAAACAGGCTGATAGTTCAACATCAGTCACTCCTGAAGAGACAATCCTGAAGGGTTACAACTTCTAATTGTATAGAAACGAAGTAATTGAAACGGATTGCTATGCCTGACTTTTGCCATCGGATCTGTGCTGATTCAATACTCACCATCTTGTTTTGCGTAACCAGGTTCTTCAAGATCTAATACCTCTTGCTTGTTTCACCACAATGTTGTGTGCTGCAAGTTACTGGAAATGGCGTGATGCATTTTGTGTATGAAGCAATGATTGTTATTACCTTTTTTAGCTTGTGTTTTCCTGAATAGGTGGGTTTGAGGTGTGATCCAATCGAAGTGTTTAAGCTTTTAAATAAATAGAAACTATTTCCACGAGCAGAGGAGTCAAGGGTTGATCCTTCAGGAGTGAAATCAAGAAGCACCTTACAAGTGAAAATAGTGATTTACAGTTGGCTCTCTAAGACTTGGGGGTTTTAGATTAATATTAGGTGAAGTATCGAGGGATATGGAACCATCTAATGTAAGGCCTGTGATTGACACGTTTTAAAAGCACTTATTTTAAAGCTTGGATTTTGAACTAGTGGTATGAGCATTTAGTCTGTGTTTGAGGTTTTTTAAAATTTACAGTATTTCTAGAACCATGATTATTTTTGAACCAGTATGAAAAAAGGCTCCCTCTGTGATAATGGGAATTTGTTTGCATTGTGAGTTTTACAAGTAGACAGTGCAAGAACTGAAGAGCACTTGCTTGCTTCCTGTTTAGAAGGATCAGGATGTTTGTTTTTGCTTGAAAAGCTGTTGTTTATTTTCAGTTGAAGGAAAGAGAACTTAGAATAGATTATAATTGAAGTAAGTTGCCTCAGTGTAAGAATTTTAGACTGAGTTCCAGACTGAACTGTTCAGTTAGAATACTGAAGTTATGTCGAGTTGAGAAAGTCAGTTGTGTGATTAGTCAAGGAAGAGACTACCAAGCCCAGGAAGAGCAAGAATTGAAATAAATGGTTAAGTTAAATCAATAGATGTAATGGAGAATCAAACTCTCTGAATTGTTGCGGTGTTGTGATTGGACTGTATTTTTACTGTGTTTTGAAATCTTTCAAATTCTGTTGCATATAAGTTTATCTTGGTTTTAAACTTTATTATTCAAAAATAAGATCTACAGCATTGCATGCATTTCTTTCAGTGAAAGACAACCTTGTTGAATTTTTTTCAAAATTATCTATCAAGCCACATTTTAGCCAATTTGTCCAGTAATATCAGCAGTTGGGATCTGAATGATTGATTTGATTTTTTTTTGAGGTTACGTGCAAGGGTTTGAATAGCCAACTTCTGCTCTTGATCCTAACCAAACCTGGTGCAAAAAATTAAACTGCTGACATAAAGCCTGTATTATCGGTTCCACCTCCAGCATAACTACCAATCAGCAGGCTAATTGATCTACCAAGAGTAATCTAGAGAGATTAGCATCAACAGTTCCCATCATCCCACTACATAATTCTGTACCATTTTGATGGTAATGAAGCCTCTGGATTTCAAAAACACCAGACTCCCCTGCCATTCTCCATTAACATTAGCAGTTATGCTTTCTTCATTAAATAGCAAAAATCATTGAACCTGTTTACTCGGGTATGTATGCAATCCTTAAGTAACAAACTTAATGTCCTGGAGTGAGCTAAACTGGGTGAGTTTGTACATTCCTAGTTTATGATGAAGGTGGTAAAGCAGGTTTTAAAAAGCAATGAGATTCTTTTGATCAGAAACTGTTTAAAAATGTTGAGACTGCTTAATCGCCACATCCATAGCACTATCTGGATTGAGAATAGGAGTAAGGCACAGGGGCAGATTTTTTTTTTGACCAGGCTGCTGTTGTCTCTCTTCAGCAGCTACTCAGTAGTACGTGTATCAATGCTGATGTTAGTAATGGTACGGGCAATGTTACATGAGGATTTTGTAAGGAAGCAGACCCAGATCGGCACTTTTGGATCTTTGCCAAACCGTTAGGCTGGGCCTGACTTGGACTTGCTCAGGCAGGACCAATCCTTTCAATTTTAAAGGCTGAGCACTTCCAAATAAAATGAGTAGACTGTTCAAATTAGGCCCTGGCCAGGTGACAAACTGTTGGAAAACCACAGAATCCACTTTAAAAATGGGTGAACAGCCTCCTCCTATTTGAACTCCTGGATTGGACTGAAAGCCTGAACAAAGCAGTCTGTGTGCACACCATTGGGATACAGCATATATCTCACTTGTGTTCAAAATTTCCTGATCTTTTGATCTGGATTTTGTTAATATTAACACCCACAAATCTACCCCCAACTCTCTAATTAGTACCCAATATGTTAACCAGTTGAGCTACACTCAGATCACTCCTCTTCTAATCTATGTCGTTAGCACAAATCCAGTGGCACCACCTGCTGGTATTGTGCAGTACTGCTAGCTTCTTTCCCGTTGCCTTCCCTCACACTGTCTGTCTCTTTCTCAACAGATTGTAGTGGCTCAGTGAAAGTAATGTTTGGAACACCAGAGTTTGTTGCACCAGAAGTGATCAATTATGACCCAATAGGGTTCACTACAGATACTTGGAGCATTGGAGTTATCTGCTACATCCTGTGAGTGAATCCAATCATTCGGGAAATGACAACTAAGTCAAATTCAAAGTGTTGCTGCCTGTTCTTTTATTGCAATTTTGGTTATCTTAGATTTTAATCTCCTATTGTACATTTTTAAACACAATTGAGAACAAAAACAGAAGTAGAGTAAAAACAAAACTTCTGTTTTTGTTCCTGATTTACAACATCTGCAGTTCTTTTGGCTTTTGAGTTTTCTAATTCTTATGGTGAAGAATGTTGGAATTGAAGATGAAACTGCTTCTGATTTCAAATAATTGATTTGAACTGTAAGTAAATTGGTGTTGAGCGAGTTAAGATCTCTGTGGGCACATGAGCAATATAGGACATGAAGGAGAGCCTCTTTGAGTTTGGGGCTGAGGCATTGAGCTGCTGTAAAATTGGTGGAGCCATTGCTCCCAAAGGGCTCTGGTGTTGGCAGTGGGCAGTGTTCTCGCTGTCGCTCAAAATTCTGGTTCAGGGCCAAATCCCACTCCAGCACATTGACTTAAACTGGCTCTGGTTGGGGTGCTGAGGGGAGTGCTGCACTCAGATTGTGTTTCAAACACAATCTGTTAAAGCTTTGTGTCAACTGTCCTCTAAGGGTGTGTAAGATCCACTGGCCCTGCTTTTAGAAAAGGGCACAATAACATAAGAGTTATCTCATTCAGCCCCTCAAGCCTCCCTTGTCATTCATGGCTGAGCTGTCCCAGACCTCACTCCTCCTGTGTGTAGCCATCAACTTCCTGATATCTCAACAATCTGTCGACGACTTTTTTTTAAATAGTTTAATTGATCTAGCCTCCACAACTCACCAGGGTAGAGAATTCCAGACATTCACTACCTTCTAAGAGAAGAAGCTCCTTGACATCTCCCATTTTAAATGAATGTCCCATTATTCTGTAACTATGACCACCCCCCCCCCCACCCCACCACCACCATTTTCTCACTGTTAACCTGTCAGTACTCCTCCACAATATGTTTCAAACATATCACCCCTCTTTCTTCAGGAGCAATCGTCACAATGACCTGGCCTTAGTTATCTATCAGCCAACATAACTCGAACCAAAGGGGAGATGATGGCCTAGTGGTATTATCACTCAAATACTAAATCGAGAAACTCAGCTAATGTTTTGAGGATTTGGGTTCAAAACTGATCCTAAATGGTAGAATTTAATTCAATAAAAAATTCTGGAATTAAGAATCTACTCATGACCACAAAACCACTGATTGTTGGAAAATCTCATCTGGTTTGCTAATGTCCTTCGGGGAGGAAATCTGCCATCCTTGCCTGGTCTGGCCTACATATGACTCCAGACCCACAGCAATTTGGTTGACTCTCAACTGCCCTCTGAAATGACCTAGCAAGCAGTTAATGGGTAGCTTTCAACAGGCAATAAAAGGTGGTGAACCCGCAATGAGACTTTTTTAATTTCCATCAGCACTTCCCAAAGCCAAGACCTCCATCTGGAGAAAAAATGGCAGCTGCCACATGGGGACACCACCTGCATGCTCCTCCCATCTCCCCCCCCCCCCCCAAAACACCCATGTTTCCTGTGGCTACCAACTGGGTCACAAGGCTCTGGGTTCAACTCTGATCCCTGGGCTACAGCGTATGTAATTAAAAAAGAGGGCATTGCTGTTTGTGGCACTTTGCTGGGTACAAATTAAAGTTTTTAGATTATTCCTTCATCACGGGCAAGTCCAGCATTAACTTCCCATTCCAAATTGCACTTCAGCAAAAAAACGATGAGTTTCCTTCTTTAGCCACTGCAGTCTGTACAATGAAGGTGCTGTAGTAGTATTGCTGGGTGGGCAGTTCTGGAATGTTGGTCCAATAATGCTGTAGGAATAGTAATGTATTTCCATGTTGGATTGATGTCGGACCTAGCTGAAGAGAGAGACATTGCGCTTAGATGGTTGGTCATGAAAAGCACCAATGTCTAAGTGCTTTACAGCCAATTAATTACTTGTCTCGAGTTGTCACGGTCACTTAAGAAACATTGCTGTTTATGGGAATTTGCTGCCATGTGACAATGAGACCAAGAAATTAGCTTTTGTGATGTTGATTGAGTCAGTGCTGTGTTGGAGTACCAGCTTTCATTTTTTTATATGCTACAGCTCAGGAATGGGATTTGAACCCAGGGCCTTGTGACCCAGCAGCTGCAGGAGACGTGGTGTGGTTGCAGAGAATGATGGAGTGGTGGTGTCCCCACGTGGCAGCTGCCTTTTTTATGTTCTTCCAGATGGAGGTCTTGACTTTGGGAAGTGCTGATGAAACAAGTCTTGGCACATCGCTGGGCACCTTTTGGTTGATAATACATATTTGACAGCCACTGAGAGCTGGTGGTAAAGGGAGAAGTTAATTTTTGAGGTGGTGAAGGTGGCACTGATCAACCAGACTGCTTTGCTTTACTTTACTTTGTCCTGGATGCTGATGACCTTCTCAAGTGTTGTTTGAGTTAAACGCTCTCTTTTCAAGGCTACTAAAGCACATTATTCATAACTTTTCATAGAATCCCTACAGTGCAGAAACGGACCCTTAGAGCATCCCCCATAACCCCCACCCCCCAATCTAGGCATCCCTGAACACTACGGGCAATTTAGCACGGCCAATCCACCGAAACTGGAGCGCCTGGAGGAAACCCACGCAGACACGGGAGAATGTGCAAACTCCACACACAGTTGCCCGAGGGTGGAATCGAACCTGGGTCCCTGCCGCCCATATGTGATGACCTCTTGGAATCCCTATAATGTGGAAGTGAGCCACCTGATCAGCACCTCTTTGGACTGCGTGAGAAAACCAGAGCACCTGGTGGTACCCCACATAGACATGGGGAGAATCTGCAAATTCCACGGCCAGTCCTCCTGAGGGTGGAATCCAACCTGGATCCCTGGCACTGAGGCAGCAGTGCTAACCACTGAGCCACTGTGCTGCCTGACTTGAAAATGATCTTTTGAAGATTGTCCAAAAGCATTGAAGAGTCATGATGGAGTGCTCACTACAGAATTCTCAGCTTCTGACCTGCCCTTGTAACCACAATATTTGTAAAGATGGTCTGATTCAGTTTCTGTTTTTACATTAAAACAGTAACAGCACATCACAAGTGCTTCATTGGGTATACAGTGCTATGGAATATCCTAATTTTGAATCTAATTCATGGACCATTGCAGGTTGAGTGGATTGTCTCCGTTTCAAGGGGACTCTGACACTGAGACCCTGACCAATGTCACCGCTGTTTCTTGGGAGTTTGATGAGGAAGCATTTGCCGAGATCTCTGAAAATGCAAAGAATTTCATCAGCTCTTTGCTACAGAAGAACATGAGGTAAAGAAACCTTTTTAACTGTTGATCCTTTCCAACTCAACTGAGGTTTTCAAATCTTATTTCAAGGAAATTACATTTTGCTTTTAACTTCTACCACCTCTCCTTCAAACTATTTTACTTAATGAATGGCTGTTTGTAGACTAGTCATTGGACATTTTAATTTTGGAAAGCACTGGTAGAATTCCAATGTCAACCACTGCCAGGAATGGACAAACAGCTGGAATGGCTACATGTTTGTTACTTATGCTCCCTGTTAAGGTAAGGGAGAGTGATTAAAGGAGATGTCCCCCAGACAGGGTCTGATTTTAGATTTACCAGCTTCCAGGGTGAACAGAAATAGTGCCACTGATCTCTAAGCTGATTTGGGGTATCCTAAAGTTGGATCCATGTCTCCTAATTCCAGAATTGAGTCCAAATCAAATCACTACTTCAAGTTCTGTTTTGGCTTTGAAGCCAAACCATACGGTTTAGACTGCAGCATTTGTGTTTTTAGCACTGTCAAGAGCCTCGGAGCCAATTGATGTGCAAGTTTTATGGTCAATGTCCAACATATGGACATAGGAAATGGGGAGCTAGAGCTGGTTTGTCAAGCCTGCTCTGTCATTGAGCAAGACTGTGGCTTGTCTTTTACACTTAACTGTAGCCTCCTACAGTACCAGCACGTTCCTTGATTTGCCCAACAATTCAAAAATCAATTAACTGTGTGTTGAATATACTCATTGGCTCAGGTTCCTGTGGCGAAGTGATAGTGATAGTGTACATACCTCTGAGCCAGGAGGCCCATGTTCAAGGCCCACCTGCTCCAGAAATGTGTAAGAACATCTCCGAATACATTGACTAGAAAATCTACACTCATTGGCTGAGCATCCAGAACTTTCTGGGGTAGGTGGACAATTTTACAGATTCACAACCCTCTGTGTAAAGAACTTTCTCTGCAGTCTGTGATTAAATTGTAATTACCGCCATATTCAGAGACAGTGATCCCACTTATGAACTCTCCAGCCTCCCAGTTCTAACCCCCTTAAGAACTTTACATTTTAAAGAGGGCCTGTCTCAGGAATGTCAGCCTAGTCTGGACAATCGCCTTGCTCCAGAAATCAATCCCAGCAAACCTTTGCATTTAACCCAAAAACAACTTTTCTCACTTTTTGAGGAAGAGAACAAGCTAAAAAATAACTTCACCCCCACTCCCACAGCCCCACGGCACCGTCCCCTATAACCGGCGAAGGTGCAACACCTGCCCACTTACCTCCTCCCTCCCCAGTATCCAAGGGCCCAAACATACCTTCCAGGTGAAGCAACACTTCAACTGCACTTCCCAGAATCCAGTCTACTGCATTCGCTGCTCACAATGTGGTCCCCTCTACATTGGGGAAATGAAGCGTGACTGCTTTGCAGAACATCTACGTTCTGCTCACAAAAAAGACCCTGAACTACCTGTTGCCTGCCACTTTAACACACCACCCTGTTCCCTGACCAACAAGCCTGTCTCAGGCTTGCTGCAGTGTTCCAGCGAAGCTTAACGCAAACTGGAAGCATAACACCTCATTTTCCATTTGGGGACCTTGCAGCCCTCCAGACTCCATATTGAGTTCAATAATTTTAGGGCCTAAACACTCCCATGTACCAGCCCCCTTGCCCCACGCACCAGGCCTTGTTACCATATAGTCTGCCATTACACAGCCCCTATTAGTCACTAACAGTCCCCATTCACAACTATTCACCCTCCTAGCCAGATAGTTATCAACTCCTTTGTCTATCCAACTGCTCTTCTCTCTTTGGGCTCTATCATATCGCTTACTTCCTACCCTATCCCCCTCCCTATTTTCTGCATATAAACTGATCTTTTCCCAGCCGCCATCAGTTCTGAGGAAGGGTCACTGGACCTGAAAC